ATATATATATACATATATATATACATATATATATATATACATATATATATGCATATATATATATATATATATATATATATATATATATATATATATTATATACATATATATATATATATATATATACATATAATACATATATACATATATATATAATATATACATATATACATATATATATATATATATATTTATATATATAACACACATATATATATATATACATAATATTATATATATATATATATTTATATTATATATATATATATATATATATATTATATATATATATATATATACATATACATATATGTGTATAATACATATATATATATATATATACATATATATACATACATAATATATATATATATATACATATAAATATATATATATATGTATATATATATATATATATATATATATATATAATACATATATATACATATATATATGTATATATATGTATATTATATTATATATGTATTTATTTATTTATATATACATATATATATATATATATTTATATATATTTATATAATATTATATTATATATTTTTATATATATATATTATATATATTATATATATTATATATACATATATATATATATGTATATATATATACATATATATATATACATATATATGTATATATATGTAATATAATATATATATATATATATATATATTATATATATTTTATTTATTTATATATACATATATATATATATATTTATATATATATTATATATATATTATATATTATATATTTATATATATATATATTATATATAATAAATTATATTATATATATTATATATACATTATATATATAATATAAATATATATATTATATATATATATATATATATGTATATATATATATACCTTGTGTGTGTGTGTGTGTTTTTATATGTATGTATTAATATATATATTTATATAAGTATACTCACAATGTTGAATTACAAGCATTATCTGCAGGTCCTTCCATGTTAAGAATGACACCCTTGCCCGTGCAGCAGTGAAAGGAGGTTTTCACCAACACCTGCTACACCTTAACCCAAAGCTTGAAGCTTCAATTGGCACATTTCTCTCCATTCTTGAACAATACCCCTTGGGAGAGGAGTTCTACACAGAAGATGATGTGCAAGACTGTGATGTAAGAGTCCTCAAGTTTACCATTTTATAATGGCCAGATTTACACTATTTATTTTATTCATGTTTTGTGATCTTGCTTGTCCAACTTGTTTCTTGATGGTAATAACCTGTCATAGTAAGTGCTTTTTCCTGTGGTAGAATTTTATTAGGAAAGGGTTTTTTGATAACAGTGTATGTTGTTGCAGGATGTTGAGGTACCGAAGGCCCTTGGGGATATGGTGGAAGCTATCATTGGCGCAGTTTATCTTGACAGCAACAGGTCATTCAAGGTAAGCATTAAATTTGATTTCAGTTCATTTAGCAATCATTCTCAAGGAAAAGGCATATTAAAGAAGACCAGATTTTTTTAGTCATTTAGTACAACGCTTTAAAAAATGAAATGTTTATAAAAAATAATTATGAACAGAGAAGTGCCTACAGGGAATGCTATCTTCAAGCTGTATACATTAAGTAGTTAGTAGGTCTGTAGGAATCCAGGAAAATTATGCGCATATTGACAGTATTTTTATTGTTACTTTTGATATGGGCCATAACAATATCAATTTGATGATGGATTCAAGAAAAAGAAAGAAAAATAATAACCTTCAATCTAGCAACCACTTAATCATCAACCACCACCCCATGGGACAAGAAAGTCAGGTCACACTTTCTTTTGTACTTAGGGATGAGACCAGATTTAGGTTGCTCTCCTGCACGCGCGCGTGCGCGCGCGCACACACACACACACACACACACACACACACACACAACACACACACAACACACACACACAACACACACACACACACACACACACACACACACACACACACACACAACCATTTGTCACTTGGAAGACATGATTGTCGCTGCTTCTAAAATTAGGGCTCCAATGTTTGTGAAAACTACCTACTCATATGTTTCTCCCAACAGGTAACATGGCAGACAATACAAAGGATATTAGGGGATCAGCTAAATGCATCTTTTGAGGATGTACATTTGAATCCTGTTCGCGTGCTGTTTGAGGAAGTGCCAGGAGAGAAGCAGGTCGTCTTTAAAAAAAGCAACGATAATGTGAGTGACACCTCATATTACACAGTGATGGTCAGTTGATTTATTTAGCATGGCAGAAGCTATTCTTTTTTTCTTTTGTCTTTCTCTCCTTCTCCCCCCCCCCTCCTCTCTCTCTCTCTTCTCTCTTCTCTCTCTCTCTCTCTCTCTTCCTCTCTCTCTCTCTCTCTCTCTCTCTCTCTCTCTCTCTCTCTCTCTCTCTCTTCTCCCTCTCTTTCACTCCCTTCCTCCCCCCTTGCTCCCTCTCTCTCCGTTTAATGACTTACAGACACCCTGTGTTGGGCAAGTATAGGAAATAAAACCATGGTAAATTCTCAATATTTTTGAGTTCAGTTTATAAAAAGGTTAGGTCAACATGATTATAGAATCCACAAAAGCTGATAAATCTATCATGAAAGACCTTTGATAATACTTATCAGTGAGTAATAACCTAAAAAGGAAAGCCATGTTAAAAGTCATGGTTCCAATTGAATGGACTCTTTGATTTCAGTTATATGTGTTGAGCACATGTTAATTTGTCATCTTTCTTGGAATATATATTGATGTGAGCGAGTTGTTAACCTTAAAGATTTATGGGTTTGATATAATTTCAAGCAGTGAGTGATTCTTGATTTTTATCTATCTTGTTGAATAAGTTCCCTTGTTAGGTATACAAAGAAACTCCTGTGGTCAACAGAAAATAGTGTTATGATCTTAAATACACTGACAATATTTCCTTTTAACAGGTAAATGGCTTTGGCACCTTCATAGCTCGTGGCAAGAACTACCAAGTGGCAAAGAAAAGGGCAGCATTGAAAGCCCTGAAGGAAATTCATAGGCAGAAGACTGTAATTGCATAACTGCAATTCATGGGGTACTGTTGGAGGGACCATGTGTCAAACCAACGGTTGCACCGTGAGACTGGTACAGGACCTATTACCTGCACAATCTGTGATCGCCAACACAGGCTTAACGGCCACCTGGCTCGCTTCCCTCAGGATGATCCTGCCCAGCAGGTTGTCTCTGTTTAAGACACTCCTGGGTGGAGGGGGCCTGTGGGACGACCAAAGAAGTCGTGGCTTGGGTAGATCGATCAGACCTGTCGTGATGAACTTGAGATGGGCCGAGTCCCTGCCTGGCGATTTGCCATGAGGGACCCTCGCAGGTACAAGCAGAGGGTGGATGCTGCTATTATAGAAGGGAGGGATCAATTACATTATGTACAAATAAATAATGGAAAGATACTGGTGGGCTGTATTGTTAGCAACTTATTCCTTGTTTTTATTCTTATAATGTTTATTGCTAAGAATTACATTGTGATATGCCACTTGTTTATTATTTGTTTAGAGAATAAAAAGTTTATGATATGAGTGTTTCTATTCCCCTTGTACATTTGGTACACACTCAACAGAGGAATGAATTCATTCCACCTCACAAGCCTTGACTGTAAACTTATGCTACCCATATTAAAATTTGATGTCAACTGGGTTTCTAGGGATTTTCTTCAAGGTCATATCATGGGATAGAAAATTTGAAATGATTGTGCACTTTTTCAAATTTTGAGAATAGTTCTCCAACATACTGGGAATAGTAATTTAGTAGAATATATTTGAAATTCTGAATATGAAAAAATTATGTTTCTTACAGTAATCTTACTACAGAATCTACATCTATTCACCAGCGAACTGCATCTGTAATGTTTATTTTAGCAACCCATTTCCACCTTCATCTCAGTTCAGTCGAATACCATATGGTATGTAAGTAAGGACAATGAGTACAAAGATTTTATCGTGTAAAGGAAAAGGAAATATCCTTATTTTTCGCTTGTACTCGAATTTCTGTCATGGATAGTCACCGGCGTTACTCTCCCTTCGATCTTTGGAAAAAAATGAATTTATGCGGGTAAACATGTGCCAAGACTGATAAACTAAAAAAA